CAAGGGAGATCAATGCTGACAAGCTTGGTCGAAGGATTTCCAATATAAATCTTAATCCGCACATGAAATCTCCTGGTTTAAACGGGTCCGCGTAGTAATTCTGATCATAGGGGCGGAAGTGGTGTAGTGGCAAGTGGCACGCTTACCACGCGAGCGGTCCGGGGATCAAATCCTGGGTCGTGAGTCGCCCGGGCCAACCAAGCCTTCCATCCCTCCGGGGTCTTGGTACCAGACTTGTCTGGGAGGATAAAAACACTGACTTGTACATCGGCTGGCCCCGCAAGTCATTGTATAGGCCACATCGCATTCAAACGCCACTACGAATGTACAAATGGAAGTAGAATGCGTGCCGCATCCCAAAAAGGGATTGATCAACGGCAAATGCTTTATCCTTTATCCTTTTTATGCCTCTCTTCTCATTTGCTTTCAATCAAAGTAAGTTTCAGTAATGTCAGTATCAAAGTAGAACTGGTTAAAGCCACACCCCGGCAGAAGTGACGTCGAGGAATCTACTTAGTAGAAGGGATGTGTAGCCCACGAGTAGTACATATAAGCCGTTGTACGCGACAGTGGCGCTAGGATCCTACAAAGACAGCATTTGGACTGGCTACGTAGCGCACACCTCAACACGCAGCATAGATATGGGGTAGAGGCCAAATCAAATGCGCGCATGTTAGTTGAGCAGTGGAGCGGGAAAATTCGTATATCTCGTCCGAACCTACCCTTTCTTGCTTCAAGGGAATTGTTTCGAGCCTAGTCGACGAATTTTTTTTGCTTCTTTTTTTCAATTCCAGTCAATTCGGCACCCATAACTTCAATTTGACCTGTTGGTGTTGTTTTAGGCATGCAAGCAAAAAGTTCAATCTTGCGATACAGTGATTCAGTAGAATTACCTAAGTCGCAGAAATTGAACTATTTGCGTAGTGAGAGTTGTAGTGGCTAGTTCTCATAGAGCAACGTGTGAATAGTAAGTACAACGGTGTGAGATAGTAGCTAATTTTTACCGCGATTTCTTCTAGTAGAATCGGCCATGTGCAGGGGTAGGTACATGAACGTCGTTTTTTCTAGGCAAAATTTTCCATTGTATTTCCCCTGTTCTGAGAATACACCGAATATCATTCGACATAGAATCGTCTGCTCTATGTGACTGCTTGGTTTTTGTGTTTGTTGCGAAGTAGTTAAATATTAGCATGCGAACTGGAAAGTACGATCAACAAAACTAGCCAAACCTGCATTTATAACTCTATGTTCATTTAAAAGAGTGAATAATTGATGTAGCCTTCACTTAGTTACGACCTGTTCTTAACGTTCCACTTCTTACTTTAGTTCCAACTGCTCCAATCATTCTTTTGTGAAATTTTCCATCTGGGCTTGAAGGTTGCCGAAATGTTGTTGGGTCTAAACCCAGAAAGTTTCACACCCAAGGGTTGAAAAACCGGTCATGTCTAAGAACGACGAATATGCTTGAATAATTTTGTTGCTTTTTTTTAAGAACTTTTTTTCCAAAACAAGGAGTCCATTCTCATTAACTGGTGCTTCATCACGATTCAAGCTTTCAAAAAAGTGCTTGAATTTGTTCGAAAAGGTACCGGTCCAAAAATCAGTTCCTTTGGGAATTTTTTCTGGTTTAATTAATTCAATTTTATACCTCACGAATTGGGCGTAAAGTTTGATCTGCTTCATATTAAAAAGAACGTTGAAACAAATGATTGAATGGTTCAGGAAAAAATCTATTAAACGAACATGTTACCGTTATACAAACGTGGCGCTCCAGGGAAAGTCTAGGTAAAAAGCGCCATTGTTGATTGGCCGACGAGAAGGACGAAATTTGAAAAGAAAAACACTACACGGCCCTCTGGATCAGCCATTAGGAGATTGTTTAGAAAAGGTCGCTTTCGAGAGCTCATAGAAAAGCTCACCGGCGGCGCGGACGCGTTCGCGTGTTGGTGACGTCACAGCGGCTGCGAGGGGCGAGCAAGGGCCAGGCTCTACCATCAATACTTTGGTGCATTGAGGAGTCCGAGCATCTATCGTGTTCTTATTTTCGCTGTGTCGCTGTGTACTAAGTAGAAATGAGTAGGAATTGAATCGAAGAACAGACTTGATTCAATCAATTTCAACATGATTGTGCACCCTCGACTTTCTCTGCATTTGCAAAAAATCACAATTCCAAGTGCGAGAACAATACCTGCACCTAACATAGTCATTTCGCTCGCGGCGTGGATAATTTGGTATAGCTCTTGAAACACAGCGCCATTTGAATGGAGTGGCAGCAGAGCTAGCCACTGCTGCCCTTCCTTCATGCTTGCCGTAGCTGTGACGTCATTTTGACGTCACCGATACGCGCTCGCGTCCGCGCCGCCCTTGAGCTTTTCTCTCGCTCTACAAAATCGTAGTTGTCAGTTCCTTCAAAATTGTTGCTGAACTCAGGTATGGAGCTTAGCAGTTGGAAAATGCAGACGGCGAAAATCGGCATTTCGACAGCTATTATTCTTCAATTTAAATAAAGAAGAAAGAACTTCCAGATTGGCTCCATACCTGAGTTCAGCTACAATTTTGAAGAAAGCTTCAGCTACAAGAAGAAAGAACTCCAATCTGGAAGTTCTTTTGAAGCTATCGTTCCAATCGAAGCTTACTCTTACCGATCCTACGTTTTTCGCTTGCGTTGAAACCACCATTGCCTTTAAGAACAAAAAGGACTCCAAAAACGAGCACAATTTTTTTTAAATTCTATATCCGGTGATCTTCAGCGAAATGCAAAGAAGTTGTAAATAATGACGAAGTGAACATCACTGATTAGTTTTATGTTTTTATTTTTTGCTTCAAATGTTTGTGTGAAGAAATGAAAAATGCAAGCGCTACGATATTATGCTAAAACCCAGTACATGTAGCAGTGATCTCATCAACAACCCTCACCGTTCCACAACTCTGAAAAATATTTCAAAACACAGCAATGCAAAGTAATGCCAACGAAAAGGTACTAAAAGGAGGCCGTTATTGAGGCACGAATGTCCAACAACTGGCAGTCTTTCCCTCTTAACAGTTTTCATGAGCAGCTTACTAGCTTCTCGAGAACATCAGTGCAACAAGGAGCAGACGAGCAATTTTCAGAAGCATTTATACCATCTAATCAGAACATCACAAAATGGCTATTTCTTGACTGGTTTGGCAAAGCCAATTCGCTGTTTGCCGATGTCATGAATGTTGCAGTACTGGCGTATGAACGGATCGCCGAGAATCCATTGGGGTCCATAGCCGCCGGAGCGCATCGGGAATATTGCCAATGCACAGAAATCAACATCAAATTTGACAATAAGATTTTCCGACTCGAGAGTGTAGACATGATCACCGATAGTCAGGTTGAATGTCACGTTTGCCCCGCAATCAATGCGATATACATCGTAAAGTTCGTCGAGCTGAAACAGGTGAAGAGTTATTGTTCCTCTGATCAAGCACATACGGGAAACATCAGTTCTGATGCAGCTTCCCTCCGCAGCTTCCCCTTATGAATTTCGAGATATTTGAAACTCACTTCGGCATTAAATGAGTCCGCTGCCATTTCGGCGATTGCTTCTGGGATGCCCAGGAACGACGTGCCAGTATCAGAGATCACTTCCCATCCCTTTCCAATGGTCAGATATCCCGCGCTGAATGCCTTCATCTAAAGTCGAAATCATAAACAGCAGAACGTAAAAAAGTGGTTTCTCAACTTTTGTGACCTTACATGGAATTGCCAATATGCCGCTCGTGTAAGCTTCTCGTATGCAATCACTTCACCGCAGTTTACGTCGTCAAGGCCTCCGTAAGTAAAAACACCTCCATATTCGCCCGCTGAATTATCTCAGAATAGTCAATTCCGTTTTGTTTTTGTTAGCAAAAGACTTCTCTTCTCAGATTCACATCCTCTATGTCCCATGAAAACGGTGAACACCGGGTCCACTAATCCCAGATCGACAGCTTCTAGGAGAGGAGGATTCACTTTCTCTACGGCGAGCGTCCGGAATCCTAATCCAAGTATGCCATCGAGTGGATTCTGAAATCTGTCACAACAACTTAAAGGAATCGCTCAGGGAAGCTCATTCTCTCCATTCGCCTAAATGTAGATGTTCTCAGTGATGACTGGAGACAGTGTACAAAGTTTAGTGAGAGATTCAGAAAGAGACAGACCTAGAAAGACCACTATTTCCAGACTCTCTCTCTTACGGGGTGTTACCAAGGAGATGCATGCTCGGAAGTACGTGGAGGGTGAGGAAGGTATGTACTATCTCGAATTTAAGCACTCGATTCAGAAGCAAGGTCAAGAGTGTGGAGGAATCCTCGGAAAGGGGTGTCGTGTTAGGTTCACTGGGAGGGTCAGGGGGCGTAAGTGCCGAGCAGCAATGATCAGAACATGGCACGGGAGTCAATGGGAGTCATGCACCAGATGTCGAGTGCGCGGCACGCCCATGAGCGCTCAAGTTCACCCAATGCTATGCACTTCAATTCCTACTCCCTTCAAAGAAGATGTGAGTTGGAGAGGCATTAAAAGGTTACAGGAAGGGAGCCTTGATGACAGAAAAGAATTCACTACTAATGAAAAAGATGTTCATATTTTTGCTGTAACCCTTTGAAAATGTTCAGGCTGAACCTTTTGTACGGCTCCGCAATCACTGGAAAGCACAAGACTTGCAAATTACAGAGCTGTTTTCGCCCACGTACAAATTTGTCCATGAAAGAAGGATCGTTCAAGAATGACTGTCCGAGGAGAAGAATCTCTGGGCAGGGAAATCCCTGAGGAAGTGGAGCACTTTTTCAGACTACTCGTTGCATGCTATACATAGGGCATGTGCGTGGAGCAGATTTATTATTTACTTATTGGCGCACGCTTTCTTCTACAGTTCCTTGTTCACATTAATTCAACAAACTGCAGTCAAATGTGGGTAAATTATGGTCTAAAACAAAAGGTAGGAAGATCTCCAGTCAGGTGTGAAGAAAAAAAGTGAATCAAAGTCAATGCGCATCTTAGAAAAGTTAGAAGCGTACTAAGGGCTGTATGATGGTTGAAAAGCATCCATATTTGATTTCCAGTAGGCGGATGACGCTAGGGATAACGTCACTCCCAGACAAAACTAACATACATGTGGAATCGGAGACTGAATTTTCGGATGTTAGGTATTCCCTACCCCTAACAATTCAGCCCGGACCCGCCATTACAATCATAGCCTTGGAAGAACACCCTGTTGTGAAAAAAATTTTAGTGCAGAGAAGTCATGACTAATTCTAATCCTCACTGGAGATTCATTACTTAACGAACAAATCAGTCTACAAATACAACAGATTCCAACAAAAAAAGGAGTCATGACACAAAGAAGAGAAAGAATCGGAAGTTAAGCAGCGGCCCCTTTTTCCCCGTGAGTTAACCAGTGGATGATTACTGGTTAACCAGAATGGATGACTACTGTAAAAACAATCAGCGTAGGAAAAAACGCAAGCAAAACATTGAAAGGATAATTTTTACGTATATCAAAAGCGTTTTCAAAAGTCTTGAATCCCAAGACGTGATAGCAGGTCCAACCTATTTTTGAAAACGCTACTGTTTTGCGCAGCAAGAATTTCAGCTGGTAACATCTGAAGCCATTTTGCCCCACGGAAAAGTAGAGAATTAGATACTTTACAATGTTGTCTTTTCATAAGCTTAGGACATTGCAGAGAGAGCTTGTAAGCGCGCCCTCGATAGGGGCCTAAAAGGCATAGATGATCGTATTTTTTTTCAGCATCTCCGGGACTGACAGAAAGGCGGAATACTCACTTACGAAATTTTGGCGGCGTCTATATTAAACCCATAGCATTTGTAACGTTGGGTTGTTATTGGAAACAAGGCTTTCCGGTCACTGAATAACTTTAGACATATATGAGCTTCAGAAAGCGGTAGTCAGAGGTATGCAAAAAATTGTCTCTAACGTTTCCCACATGTTTTTTTTTCGAACAATACTGATGACGAATTTTTTTTAGTTTTCTGATTACCACCTTTATGGGCTCACCTATGTCTGAACTTATTCAGTGAACAGAATGTTCCATTTCCAATTTTCAACTTTTCAACGCTACAAACGCTGTAGAGTTCATTATAGAGGTAAATGTTTCACCTTTTAAGGAAAGTTTTCCGCCTTCTTTTGGCAATCCCAGAGCCGGTTAGAAGAAATTGTCCTCAGTTACATGCTCCACGCATGCGCTGTAACACACAAGGAAAAACGCTTCGTGTCATGCCAAGAAGCCTGAACAGGGACATTTCAGACATACCTTACATATCATAAAATGCCCACATGGAGCAAAAGTCTACCAGTTTTGACCGCATCATTAATTGTACTGATTTGGTGCATATGCAGAAGGTTATGGTTTTTGAAAGTGTAAAAATTCACACCACCACCAAATTTTCCTCGTTATTTTCGCAAAATTCTTCAACGGGGCCATTTTGGAAGTACTGAATGTATCGATCCATCTCACAAACATTTGAATAGAGCTCGACCTTCTAATTTACACAATTATGCAAATCTTTTTGAAGTTATGGTTTTCAAGGTACTTACGGCTTTCGGAGGAATAAAAAATTGCGTTCCCTGAGATTCCCCTTGTTAATTGTCTGAAAATGGTATTTTCTCACTACTTCTCACAAGTTTATTACTATTGTATCTACAAAGCACCTCGAAGGATTCCTTTGCATTTCGTTCATATTAAAAATGCGTTCCATTTGAAGAAAGTTGTGATCGCTAAAACACGTGTTCATATCCCTACGTGTTCCCTAGTTGTAGGTAAGCTGCTCCATGCGCAACCCATTCCCTACAAGAGCCATCACCTCTCTTCACAAGCCATTTGAAAAATGGAGCGCAATGCATGACAACCTAATGAAGGCCGAGCGTAAGGGGAATCTAGGGAAGTTCAACCTTGAATGTTCTCCACCTCTAATAGTCATTAACATCTCTAAGCTTTTTGTCATGAAATATTTGAAACAAACTTACGCCTGCGAAAAAATCAGCAATTTGCAGCGCTTGACCGAATACGATACCCGGTACGATCAAGGTATCATTTTCATCGCTGCCACCAAATCGTAAGGTGTCGTTGCCAAGGAACCCAGATGCAGATCCTGTACCGTACTGAACATGACAAATCAGTGTGTTAACGGGTGTATCATCTGTTTATTATTACAGGTCATGAGCGAGAACAGAATGCGAATCAACTATGTGAATATTATTAAAACTCGAGTAATTGTATTGTGGGATGTTTCAGAAGTTACGTCCTTAGGGTGTGATTGATGTTGTTTGGTCATTTTTCTCATGAAAGTATCCACATAACTTGTTGGTAGAAACAAAGAAGTGATCCCTTGTAAGTTTCTACCAGAATGCTCTGAAATTTTTTGTTGGCGACAAACCTATCGAAAATTAAGTGCAGTGGATTTGACCGTACAACACAATGTTTTGCATAGGGTGCGTTGAAATTGTGATGTTCAGATTGCAACAAGAACGAACTGAGAGAATGCTATGACACCTTCTCGAAAACCCTTGATTGCACGTCTTAAAGGACTTTTTTAAAAGTTGAAATCCATAGAAAAATAGCTTCCGTTATTCGCTTCTCAGCTTCACAATCTCAAACTGGTTACCGCTCGACTGCCTCGAAACCGACAACCTATTTGACTAGATAGATTTGCAGGATGTTAGTACGTGCTAAAAATTTTCTGGATGCTATAGGAAGTTATTGCACAATACTTTTTATAATTTACCAGATTAGTCCCCCGTCAACCGCCGGGACCTTCCTTTCCTGCGCAAGCTTTCTATCCTCCGCTATGGTCCCTTCCTCCTGTGACACCAACACCTCCTGGAAGTGACGCGTGTAGAAGGGACACAATCATGATATGACGGTAGATTTTTCGCTTCCCTTCCTCATCCTCCCTTCCTCTCTCCACTGCCCTCCAGCTGCCACTGCAGCACCATGTGGAATGAACGGAAGTGTGCTAAGCAGGTGTTTATATAGCCCTAAGAGTGTTATCACAACTATCCTGCTACAAAACATTGATATCTCAAATCCTGTAAGCTACCCGATTTGTTAGCGGTTTGTTTATCCCATGAGCTTCCTTCTCACTCACTTCATTTTGCGGACGGACACACATACACACACATACAGATACACAAACCGACACACAAAGTTAGCGCTTTATAAAATAGAAGGATTTAACTAAATAAATAAGATAAGCTCCATGTTGGTAGAACAAAGTAAGTGATCCCTTGTAAGTTTCTACCAGAATGCTCTGAAATTTTTTGTTGGCGACAAACCTATCGAAAATTAAGTGCAGTGGATTTGACCGTACAACACAATGTTTTGCATAGCGGCGTTGATTGCTTATGTTCAGATTGCAACAAGAACGAACTGAGAGAATGCTATGACACCTTCTCGAAAACCCTTGATTGCACGTCTTAAAGGACTTTTTTAAAAGTTGAAATCCATAGAAAAATAGCTTCCGTTATTCGCTTCTCAGCTTCACAATCTCAAACTGGTTACCGCTCGACTGCCTCGAAACCGACAACCTATTTGACTAGATAGATTGCATTGATTACGTCGTACTAAAATTAATGTTGATGAGTAGGCTGTATGCTGCCAACAATGGTGGTTTATACATTATTGGATAAATATATCAGAGATAAGCTCCATGTTCGGTCTTCCTGGAACCTGGGCTTTTTGAATATTGTCTTCGTTCTTCTGTGCCATACGGTGATTCACTTGGCTGAGATTCCAAATAAACATGTTTCGAAACAATCTTGAAAAAAACTTTTCTAACGATAGCGAGAGCCCTAACGATTAGCAGGAAGTTCTGGTTGAAGCATACGCATAGAACTATTGAGAAGATTCCTACTGAATTGATCTCTGTGGCTTCCTGTTGCACGAAAAGAACTAGGAAGTGCAAAATGTTCTATTAGGGCGTGCCGTGACAACTCACCATTTTAAGGCTTTCCCTACTTTTTAGTTTCTTTTATATAATGACGACGACCTGCTTTCTACTTATCTGCGACACGCGAAAAAGATTTAAAGACTAAAGGCAAATTCCTTGCCACAGCATACGAACTTTTGGTGAAGGATCGACCGCGATCAGGCTCTACAAACTTTGCAAAAGTGAAACTTCACTGAAGGAAGGTTGAGGTGACTTTCATAAGGTCAGCGGCTGGTCTAGCTCTTCGGAACCAGGTGGAAACATTAATGTGGGAAAGTACTCTTGCCATTCCAAAATATCCTAGAATTCTAGCACATTCGCCAAGCACTCATTATGAAGGAACAGACTCATCCCTGACAGGTAGCTCGGACGCACATTCCACAACCAACCCTGCAGAAGTTGAACAAGCTTGGCTACGAATTAGTCCTGCGACCATCTTACTCGGTAGACCTTTTGCCTATAATTTGTCACTTTCTCGATGACCTGGATAGCTTCTTTGAAAGAGTTATGCTCAAAACTCCAACATGATGCTGAAACGACCTCCGCCTGGGCCATTGCCTATACAGGGGGCCAAAAAAAAGTCACTTTCATTCACATTCAAAACAGAATTAATTACACTTTGCCAAAACCAAACCGAATGAGCTCAATTGCATATTGAAGAGCACATTCTATTCTATCAAAAAATTACATAGGGGCTTTCTACACCGACGACATCAGAAGATTTTCCCACGGAAACATGGTTCACGGTACGAGCTCAACGAGGTCGTCGAGAAACCATAGACGATTACGACGTCTCTGAAACGCTGGTCAAAAGCCATCTTGCATAGTCAGAGCTAGTGTCCCTAAGAAGCCATTCACCAGTTATCCGATTGAAGAAATTATGTAGCAGCTTCAGAATGGAGCGATTATGGTAGGCCTCCTTGAGCTCGACGGTGATGACAGATGACGTCATATTCTGGAGACGGTGAAGGCAGCGAAGGTGGGCCTGATTCTGCTTATGGGGGGACATCTAAGGAATATTTCGCCGTATAACTCCCAATAACAGCGGCATCCTTTGCGACGAAAAGTTTGATGATATGCGCCATGGGCAAAGTGACTCTTTTTTTGCCCCCCCCCCTGTAGAGCTCCAGTATTCTACGTGACCGCGCTAAATCAACCGGTTTCTTATTACTAAACGTTTGTCGATTCCACCATTTTCTACCTCAATCGAAAATGTTTTCAATAGCAAGATTCATGCATTTGATATTTTTAGTTTGAAAAGCGCAAGAACTTCCTTCATGACCTAATAGTTGCCGTTTTTGAAAGCTGTTGGATGAAATATGCACACTCCTAAGTTGCCACTACACAGCAATCGTTCTATAGAAAGAGACTCACCGCAATTCTGAACTCAACTTTTGGTTCAATCGGCATATAAGTTTTCGACTTCTTGGATTCGAAAAATTCCTTTTCTGCACAAGGATTCTCATCCCCTTCATCAGCGCTCGTCACATCAGATTTATCGCAACACGATTTATCAGGACAAAGCACTTCGCAAACCACTAAATCAAATAATATGTACACACAAAAATAGCGTGGTGTGAACCAAAACCAAAAAATCAATACAAAACTAAAACTTCAAATGTGTGCTGCTACTTGGGAGAGCTGTGGGATGCCTTATGGTTCTGTTCTGACAAATCGGATGCAATCTTAGCTATTATTTCGGTTTATTAGAAAAAAACTCACTTCCAAGATCACACCTGGCCTCCTTGCAAACCTTTTTGCGACCTTTCACACATCTTACGTCTGGTATCCACAAGTTTGCGCTACCAGTATCCAGGACGACCTGAGATTTGTAATTATTAGGCTGTCCCATATAAGCCTGACAAATTCTAAAGCTCCAAAACTGAATTTCAGCAGAAGATGATTCCGTCACTAGCAACAATAATAGAACATATAGTAAGAAGTATTGTTTCTTATTCTCTCTCTCATTCTTTTCAAATGCCCAGATAGTGAAGGAACTCACTACCGCTCGCTGTATCAACACAGTGATTGACTCCATAATGAACAAACCCGAAAATGTTGTGGAGGTGTTCCAATGGTGATGTTCGCGATATACTCAAGGTCCTCATAATCGTAAACCTGGAACCATGAATATTTCACAGCTTGAACTCGAATCGATCTTGTAAACATCGTGGTAGTCTTCAAGTAAACGTGGAAGGGGGGGGGGAGGAAGTAACTCTCTCTAGTTCTGGGACTGAGTTGATCACCCTTCTCTTGACGCGTAACGGATAATTTTGACCTAGAATTAAAGGACACGTTCGAATCGATAGCCTTTTCACACAAGCGACTTGAGAAGAGTCTGTCACGTGACCATGGTGCAAAGTTTAAACATCGAGTTATTAGATAAGCTGCAAACCATATCTACGTTCCCGGAACGCTGATTGGCAGAGGCCTTCCATAGTCAGAGCTTCCTTCTCTGGGACCTGTTCAGTAAATGGATAAAAGAAGTTATGTAAGTAGCTGCTTCAACCTGAAGTAATTTCTGTGGGCATTTTACAATCAAGGGCGACGTCGGATGTTCTGATATTCAGATACGGTAAGATAATAAACGGGCTGGCTCCTATTTATGGAGAAACGTTAGAGAAAGTGTTTCACTGCACGTGTTCCCGCCCGACGTTTGCTAATGTTGGCCATGTGAAAGAAAAGTGAAATTCTTGGCAATTTATGCTACTATCACTGTTTAACGCGGGCACATGCCAGCAGTGAAAGATGAAGCAGTCAGCAATTAGAAAGTGTGAGACGCGCTAACAATTAGAGAGCGTTGCTTTGCTACTCCGACAAACGACACTGAAAATCACTTCCCCATGTCTCGACAATGGTGCAGGACGGTGTCGGAGTCAATAATAATATAATGCGAAATCATGTATTGTGTTATTACGCTGAGGTCAAAACTAAATATCAAAATTCTCGTCCCAATATTTACTATCTCAAAATTAGTCCACGAGTCTACTAGAGATGTGAATCCGAGCGCAATAACTTTTGGCATATAGTTTGACGAAGTTCGAAGGAACTATGAGCGCTATGTTAAACTGTGAAAAAACCCGATACTCATCTACGAATTTTCCCTTAATCGACCTCCATTGGTCATTTTTAAGTGAATTTTATGGTTTTCATGCTGTGCTGAAGGAGCTCGACCGAATTCTTCTGAACGTGTTTTCGAATCAAAATTTCGTCCACCGTTGAGAAAGTTATATTCGGCTTAATATGTGTTATTCAGAATTGTAACGCGCTTTCTACTAGTAGGCAGCTATCTTCATTATATAAACCAGAACTTTGGTGTGTCGGTTTGTCGGTGTGTGTGTGTGTCGTTCTGTCCGTCCGGACCGACCGCTCACAAAACCAGGGAGTACGAAGGGCAACACTTCGTGATGTTGATGTCATGATCATGATAACCCACAGCGGCTATATAAACACCGAGGTCAACCTTATTCTACATAGCGCTGCAGTGGCACTGGAAGGTAGGGGAAGGGGGATTAGAAGGGCTGGGGCAAGAAAGGGGAGGCTGGAAGGGAGGGGAGAGAGGAGAGGAGGCGAAGGCAAAAGAGAAGGAGAGAACGTGGGCACCGCCCGTGCGCGGCAGGAAGGTATAAGGAGGGGTAAGGTCGGGAGAGAGACTGCGGAAAAAGAACGATCGTTTTAGCGGCGAGGGTTAATTTCATGTGTACTGTATTTTATTCCATCCTTATGTCGTGATTGTGATAACACACAACGGCTACAAAAACACCACGAGCCTACGCGGCCCCATTAAAAAGGGTGCTGCTGGGACAGCTGGAGCCGGCGGGAGGCAGAGGGGAGGGGAGAGTGAGGGAAGGGAAAGGGAGGGGGAGAGCATGGTGTTGTCATGCGCCGGAGAGGAGGGGTATATGGAGGTATAGCACATTCAATAGTGAGGTGGTTACTGGAGTACATCAGCTGCGTGGTTCCTCCCTACCCTGTGATGTGCGCGATAGCGGGCGCAGCAAAAGCTGGTATAAGGATAAGCTGCTCCAAGGTCAACGCAGAAGACAAGTCTAGACAACACAATGGCTGATCTTCTCATAGCTAATGTTGATGGGAGTTATTGGGGACGTTTTCTTTTCTCGAAGTCTTTTTTGCTGATCTAATCAAGAGTATGAACAAGTCTAGACTGAACAAGACTGCGAGACTTCAATTACTTATTGCTAAAGACTCTGATGATTCACGATCACTTGGCAACCTCGTCGAGTTCTTATTGTAGAACATGTTCCCGAAGCGAATTCATCTGGTGTCGTCGGGGTGGAAAGCAACTGCAAAGTTCTTCGATAGATTGAAACGTGCTTCAATTTTTCAGTAGGGATCATTCGCTTTGAATGGAGCAAGGTGTATAAATAATTGGAATTCAATCATTTCTTGCCAAGAACTCTAAAGAAGCTTTTACAAACGAAATTACAAAAGTGTGTCTGTGGAAAAGTTCGCAAAAATTCAGGTCTATTTAGCGAGCTTTCGGCGCGCTAAGCGCAAATAGGCCTAAACTTTTGTCAAGCCTGTATATTACCTGACTCACCTGCTGTCCACCCTGCAAAGTGTCACCCTTATCACCATTGTTGGTATGTGAAGCAGGAAGTACTTCTTACCCTAGACTCACCCGAATAGCCATAGGACGCTACGATCGTTACCTTTTATCAAATGTCGGCATGTATGCTATACGAAGTTATTACGAGCAGTCAGGCGATGAGTTGAAGAGAGACACATGACCCGTAACTGCCACTTAATTCTGGGGTAAACTTCATATTTCCAGTGCCCCTATGTGCGTTCCACTGTGCTTTCGTTGGGACGATGTAGGACTTCGATATTAAGGTGGGGGAGGTTAGTCGGCATATGGCATATTTTGGCACATTTTTGGGTACAATGTCAAGAATATTACTTAGATGTGAGACCAATAACGGTAGTGAGTGTTGGACTTTTGAAAGTGGGAAGCAGTCGTATGGTTTAACATATTAACATACTCCGAAAGCTTCCACACGTACTCTTTGAATCGAAACCATTTTAGCCTGAGCTAGAGATGCAAGGCACCTACACTCGTAAATAACTTGACGCTGTGATGTTCAACCCCGCGCATACGATCATCCCTTACAATCTGCCAAATACGACCCTCCGTTATATAATAACCAGATTGGTCCCCCGGCAAGCGCCGGAACCTCCCTACCTTGCGTAAGCTTTCCCTTCTCCCTCCTCTCCTTACTCTCCCCTCGTTCCCGAGTAAATTATTACATAGATATGAGAACATCAACCAATCAAAGTCACTGTCAATACTCTGCCATAAAATAGTAATTCTCACCTGAAGTACACGAATTTGTCGATCAGCTCACATATATCGACGAAAACAATCGCGCGACCTCTGCTCGCCGGCTACCACAGCATCACCTTGTGGAATGACCGAAAGTGTGCTAAGTGCGTGTTTATATAGCCGTTGGGGATGCTATCACAATCATGCCATTGCAAAACACTAATAGCTAAAGTCCTGTGAGCTACATGATTCTGTTAGCGGTTTGTTTATCCCATGAGCTTCCTTCTCACTCACTTCATTTTGGACGGACGGACACACATACATACACATACACACATACAAACCGACACACAAAAGTTAGCGCTGTTATTAAAATAGAAGGACGAAGGAAAGGAAAGGATATATGTGCAAAACTCAAGAATGAGGTGGATAAACTGACATTAACAATAACTGGATTGAAGCTGTGCAAGCATGGTTGTCAGTGTCAAATGCGCTTACATGCATGACACATCAATAATGGCTTCATATATACCCGCGGTCGGCATCAATCTGGAGCTAAAATGTTGCCAACGATGGGTTTTGCTGGACAGGACTAGAGAGAGTGCACTGAGCAGGGAGTTACTGTGGAATGCAGTGATGTTCCTGAACTTTACGCAAGAAAGGATCTCCGAAAAACTGGAAGAAAGAAGATTTGTAAAGAGTGTGGTCCAGGGGTTCTATGTTGCACACACTATTGTTTTGTGCGCATAGGGAGCACAATGGACCGCAGCCACTGCTGCCCGTAGAAGGGTGGGTGGTTGATCACGATCAACTGCAACAGCAGCTGATTTCTACGTTTTGCAACAGGCAAGAATTGACCTACGTCAGTCACAGGCTGCAGTTGCAAAAACATTTTTCAGGATTGTTAGGCGCATTATCCCAGGACGCACAGTGGTACAGTGACCGTATAGGCACTTTCTCTCTGACCACCAACGTAGTATCTGGTGTTTCTTTAAAACCTGCGCATCGCCTGGAATATTTGCTACGTGCCGGGAGATTAGTGATAGACCACCGATTTGGTTGATCGTGTGTTCTTTCCAGTTAAGACCATATTGAACGTGAGTAGTGTATTTGAGTATTGCCTTGTTGGCAAGATGTTAGAACCGCTTAGTGCACCCAGGACCATCGTACAACATGATTGTTTTGGTAATCCATTCGGTATGGTGTGGGGAGGCATAAATTAATATTATGTAAGATATCATACTAGTAAGGCATTGCTGGGCTCAAATAGCAGGGGGGACCAACTGTTCCGCACATTGACGACCGACATGGACCGTAGGCGAGAGGTGAGAATTTGTGCTTAGTGACGAGTGGAATTTCTGCCTTAAGGATAAAGTTGTGAGCCCTTTTGAGAGTTTTCTCGTTAGCTAGAAAATCAATTGTCTAGCTAGCAATATCATCAAGCTTTGAAAAAAATGAAATGTGTTGTATAGAGACCGGAAGTTATTACGTCCATTCGACAGTTTCTCAGGTTTTGGTATTCAGCGAAATGCGGGCTATACGATAATCTGAAGAATTCAACGTTCTCCTTTCGATAGTCATAATCAGGCAAAAAATATGGATTCTCTATATCAGCAATGATTCCAGTGACACTTTTTGCTTTTTCCCCTATATTATTCCTCATTGCACTTGTTATCTTATTTTCAAAACAAAATGACATACCAATTCGATCTAGTCTCGTGCTTTGAGTTTAAGTAAGCGATTACGATAAGGGTGCCTTAGGAGGTATGCTGCACGCAAAGCAGTCTTGGCTGCCAGAAGCGACCATGATACGCTGTCACGCGAATGTGAACTCGGTTGCTTGCGCAGGTTCAGAAGCATCTTGACTGTTGGACGAGCTGTTTTA